ATTATTATTTAAAAAAAAATTTTTAGAGAGGTTTTTGCTATAGGGTGCGTGTGCTCGCTAGAAAGACAGAGACAGAGAGACAGAAAGCAAGAAATCACCCCCCAGGGGAATGGTCATGCGATCCCTTCTCCGCCATTTCCCTCTTGGGATCTTGGACACGCACGCACATGTGCCTGGTGTGAGTTTAAGTCACCGGGTCCAGGACTTGAACCGTGATCGACTACATGGGAGTCCAGCAACATAGCCATTACACTAACTGCTGGTCCCAATACTTCTATATTTTTAGAGAGAATTTGGCTATAGTGTGCCTGAACTTGCCAGAGAGACAGAGACAGGAAGTGAGAAATCACCCCCCAAGGGGGATGACTACTCTTCAATCCCTTCTCCATTCTCCTCTTGGGATGTTGGGCACACACGCATGTGTACCTGGAGTGAATTTAAGCCACCTGGTCCGGGACTCAAACCGCGGTCGACTATGTGGGAATCCAGTGACGTAACCATTATACCATCTGCTGGTCTTGTACATCTTATACTTTGATGTCTTTTTTTTCTCAATTAAAATCCACATTACGACACTTCTTTAAAAAAGATTGTTTTGCTCTGCCAATGAGATAAAATAACTTCTTGGAAGTGAGTTTATTATTGTATTGTACCTCTTCAGCTTGCCTATTTATATTTCTAGGATCATATGGCTTGGGATAGGACTTGAAACTTATATATAGAAGCTTATAAATAGAAAATAATACAAAAAGTATTGAATTTCAGTCAGAATGTTGCACAGAAGGTGGACACAGGGCATTGCAATCAATTTCAGTTTGGACATTCACTGAATTTAGAAAGTTAGCTATTAGCTTTGTAAAGCATGTGTTTAGGGCAGAATTGTAGCCCGCCACGTCAGGCTATTTCTCTGCACAAAATTGTTCTGAGAGTAAAATTTGCTGGTGTATCTAAGTCCAACTAATAATTGCTTAAGATTATATTTTATTCCTTTTATTTGCATATACTATGGAATACTATGGTTATCAAAAGTTGAATAACTTAAAGGGAAATTGCATATCAAGAAGAATGGGCCATTTCAAGAAATACATGCGGTTGTTAGGTTATTTTCTTGAGTCCAATAAAAAGGGCAAGATGTGAGTGCTTCAGTTGTCCATGAGGTGGCAGCAGCTGCTTAGAAAGCTGGGATCCGGTGGTGCAGGTCAAGTTCAAAGAAGCCTTAGCCCTATCCCACTGAGGATTTGTATAGGCGGTACTTTCTTTGGCCAGATTTCTTCTGTGACTGGGTTTCTTTCTTTCCCTTCCCTCCTTCCTTCCTTTTCTTTTCTTTCCTTTCCTTTCCTTTCCTTTCCTTTCCTTTTCTTTCCTTTTCCTTTCCTTTCCTTTCCTTTCCTTTTCTTTTCTTTTCTTTTCTTTTCTTTTCTTTTCTTTTCTTTTCTTTTCTTTTCTTTTCTTTTCTTTTCTTTTCTTTTCTTTTCTTCTTTCTTTCCTGCTTGCTTGCTTTTCTTGCTTGCTTGCTTGCTTGCTTTTCTTTCTTTCTTTCTCTCTCTCTCTCTTTCTCTCTCTCCCCCCTTTCCTTCCTCCCTTCCGTTCTCTCTCCCTTCCTTCCTTTTTTGGCCAAGTTCAGCTCCAAATTATCTTGATACTAGATCTGGGATTTTCTGAAATGGCCTGCTTCTGCTAAAGTCAACAGATAGACGATAGACTTTGCAACTGTCCTGGGGCCAAATTACAGTTCAGCATTCCCAGAAGTGGACTTGGCTGCAGGTGGAGGCATTGAATGGAGGCGTAATCGATCTCGCATTCTACAGCAGAGAATTACTTCCTCCAGTGCGTCTTTCTCTTCGGAAAGAGAAGTTTCAGGGGGAATTGCATACGAGAGGTTACAGATACAATGAGGATGACATCAGTATTTGTTAAACTGAGGTAATTTAGGGCTTTAGGATTATTTATTTACTTACCCTCATATTTTTACTTTAAAACCATCTTAGAGATTGAAGATGAGATTATACTAAGCTTCTTTTTGCGAGAGAACTGTTCTCTGGAAACACTCAGTTAAAGGATTTAAAATTACACTTCATTTTCTACCAAACTTTTAAAACTAAATTGTTCAATGATTTTGACTCCAGTATACTGAATACATTTCATTCTTATAGAGTGTACTTCTCCAAATGTTTCAAATTATAAGACAATTCTGTCATTGTATTCTTCATCAGAACCTGGCGCTCTTTCTCTGCCTTTCTTTAAATGACGCTATTCCTGCATGAGCAATGACAGACGTACTCGATACAAGTAAACGTCTCTAACGGTAGAGTCAGGGTTAGAAAGTATAGAAGTCTTTTTTCAGCTAACATTCTTGGTCACACTTGCCACTTTAAAATCTTGGTTTTATTGATAAAAATCTACATATATTTTGCTGAGGTTCTTGTTTCCTTGATTTTTCCTTCTACAGTGATTAATTCCTTCATCTACTTTTTAAAAAATAGACTTTATTATGTTTTTTTAGAGAAGATTTTAGTTCACAGCAAAATTGAACAAGAAAAGAACAGAGTTCCCACGTGCCCTCTGCTCCCACCCCATAACCCCTCTCCTCCCCATGCTCCCCCACACAGCCACAGCCTCGGCTGTCATCAAGATCCCCTGCCAGAGTGGTACATTCTTATCATCAGGGAGCCTGGCTTGACACTTCATTGTCACCCATGGGCAATGTTCACATTAAGATTTTTTTTTGGAGAGATTTTTTTTTTTTTTTTTTGCTATAGGGCACATGCACTGGCCAGAAAGACAGAGACAGAGAGACAGAAAGTGAGAAATCACCCCTCAGGGGGGATGGCCATGCTGCAATCTCTTCTCCTCCATTCTCCTCTCAGGATCTTGGGAACACACACACGCACCTGGCGTGAGTTTAAGCCACTGGGTTCGGGACTTGAACCGTGGTCGACTACATGGGAGTCCAGTGACATAGCCATTACACTAATTGCTGGTCCTATTAAGGTTTACTCTTTTCTTTTTCTCCTCCTTTTCTTTTTAGTATTTTGCCATAGGGCTCATGTGCTTGCCAGAGAGAGACAGAGAGAGACAGTGAGAGGGAAAGTGATGGCCACACTGCAGTCCCTTCTCCTCCATTCTCCTCCTGGGATTTTGGGCACACATGTACATGCGCATGCACCTGGCATGATTTTGAAGCCACTATGTCCGGGATTCGAATTGCAGCTGACTGTGCGGAAGTCTAGCTGCCTTAACCACCAGGCCACCTGCTGGCCTCAGTGTTTATTCTTGGTGCTGTCCATTCTATAGGTTTCAACAAGTGTTTAATGATATTTCTATCATAGTATTGTCAAATGTAATAGTTTTACCACTCCCAAAATTGTGTCTATTCATCTCACCCTCTCCCTAAACCCCTGGAAATCCATGATATTTGTATTATATCCATAGTTTTGCTTTTCCCAGAATGTCGTATTGTTGAAATCATAACAATCTGTGGCCTTTTCAGATTGTCTTCTTTGACTTAGTAATACGTGTTTAAGTTCCCTCCATATCTTTCCATGGCTTGGTATCTCATTTCTTCTTAGTGTTGAATAATATTCCATTCTCTGGTTATTCTGCAGTTTATTTATTGTGATGTGAGACCAATTTGATTTCAAAAGACTGGAGAAAGAGAATGAGAGAGCACCCTAATAGGTTCTTGATGCCTTAGTCCATGCCTTACCCTGGCTCATGGGCTTGCACATTTGTACTTAGGGAGGTCTCTGGATGTGAACCTGGAGCCTTCTCAAGTGGGTCAGCCTCATAGAGGGTTGCATTAAGGCTGTACCATCACCAGACCTCTGTCAATTATTACTTCAGATATTTTTATTATTATTATTATTTTATATTTATATTTATATTTTTTCTGTTTTTCCTTTTTTTAAAAAATAAATTTATCTTTAAAATAAAATAAAAATTTAAACAAAAAAAATTTAGAGATATTTTTGCTTTAGTGTATGTGTACTCACCAGAAGGACGGAGAGATAGAAGGTGAGAAATCACCCCCCAGGGGAGATGGCCATACCACAATCCCATCTCCATTTTCCTCTCAGGATTTTGACACACACACACACATGCCTGGCCTGAATTTTAAGCTGCCAGGTCCAGGACTCAAACTGCAGTCAACCACATGGGAGGTCAGCGATATAATCATTACGCCATGTACTAGTCCCTAAAATTTTTGCCAGAGGTTGCACACACTAGCCAGAGAAAAAGAGACAGAGGGAAAAAAGAGAGAAGCACTCCCCAAGAAGGATGGTCACACTGCAATTCCTTCTCTACTTCTCCTTCCTGTTAGGTTTTTGGGCATACATGCACATGTGCTTGATGTATTTTTCAGGCTGCCAGGTCTGAGACTTGAACCACTCACTCACTTGACCATAAGGGACCCAGCCACTTGAATTACCATGCCATTGGCTCACTTTTTTTTTTTTTTTTACTGCTAGAGGGCATATGTGCCAAGTGCAACAGAACACCCTCAATGAGACATGGGGCATGGTCTCGGCAGAATCCTTTTTGCTCCATTTCTCCTCTACATCAAGAATTTGGTCACATGTGAAAGTGCTTCTGTATTTTTGTTCTTGTTTTCAAGCCATTGGGGGTGAGATTCAAACTGAGGTTTGCCATGAGGGATCTGGTTTCCTCAACCATAATGCTATGAGACTGGCCTCTAGTTCTCTCTTTTCCTTTAGGTATTCCCATCAACATATATTGCACATTTTGTACTTGCTCCATAGTTCTTGGATATACTTTTTTAAAATGTCCTTCCTTTCCTTTTTTTTTTTTTTCACTTAATTAGTATGTTTAATTCACTGAATGCAAGATTAGATTAATGCATATCCAAAAACGCTATTGCAATGCTTTTTTAAAGGACAGTAAAAATGTTGTCATAGTAACATTATCTTTAGATATTGCTGAACACAAGACTTTCCCTGAGGTGTAAACATCAAATAACTTGAACAGCTTTACACATCAGCCCCATTAAACAGTTTATTACAACACTACATCTATTGTAATCAAAGTGGTGCTGTTTACAGACATCATATGAACATTTTTAAACAAGAACAAACTACTATAAAAACAAGCATTTACTTGACTTTTGTTTTTCCAATTGCTTGCACATTATAATGGCCAAATGTATATAACCAGTAATAAAGTTGCAAAAGCTTTAACATTTTAAATCACACAGGTTTCCTTCAAATAAAACAGTTAAGCAACATAAAAAATAAAAGTAGAGCTACTGGTTACCATTTGTGCAGATTTGCTTTATTCAGGTCTATTCCTGTCCACTTTATCCATGAATCCTTACAGGTTCAGTTCAATCACAAGAAGCAAACTGCTGGACAAGCGTCATTTTCCCCCATGAAGACTGTTTTGTCTTGGAAGGTGTTCCTCTTCCTTCAGCTTCTAACGATGACGATACTCGCGCTCTCTATCACGTTCTCGGTCCCGATCTCGGTCCCGATCCCGGTGTCTCTCTCGTTCTCTGCTTCTCTCTCTATAATAATCATCATGACGATCTCTACTACGGGATTTATGGCGCCGACTCTTTTCTCGCGATCTACTATGGTCCCTCTCTCTTGATCGTTCACGTCTTGATCCAGAACCATATGACTTAGACTCAATCCCATGAAGGCAATCTTGCAAAGAGCTAATGAGAACTTTGCAACGATCATCAGCGGACACTTTGGATTGTTTAATTAAAGAAATCGCAGTTACCAAAGTCTCAATAGCACTCCCATAATCACCAGCACTAGCGTCAGACACAGCTCTTGAAATAGCACTGCTTGAGATTGCTCTATTTCTCTTCATGATTTCTTCAAACTCGGCTTCACTCAAAGGTGTTCTTGCAGTATCCATTTCCCTTCCAGGGGGCCCATAGTCACCCCTATCATATGGTGGAGGTCGGCCATATGGGTCCGTTGGGGGTGGGCCTCGGCTATCTGATGTAGGCATGCCACTGTTAGTTGGTGGAGGAAAGAAAGCTGGGTTCACATGTGGAGCTGGCGGCGGGGCACCTGGTGGTGGTCCAGGAAGATGCGGAGGAGGAGCAAGTGTAAGGGGTGGCCCAAGTGGACTTGGTGGGCGAGGTGGAAAGGGACCTGGAGGTGGAGGTGGTCCCTGTTGTGGAGGTGGTGGACCAGGAGGGGGGCCATAGCCTGGAACTGGAGGTGGAGGACCAGGAGGAAGCGGACCCAATGGAGGCTGCCCAAAAGGTTGTCCAGGAAAAAGAACTGGCGGTGGAGGGCGATCTCCTCGATTAGGAGGCCCAGCTAGAGGAGGAGGCAGAACCTGACCAGGAGGTGGAGGACCTGGTGGACCAGGTGGGCCTGGAGGACCTAAGGGTGGACGTGGTGGAGTCTGTCCAGCTGGAAAAGGTGGGGGTGGCCCTCCTGGTCCTGCTGGCCCAGGAAATCTGTCCCCACCAGGAACAGCCCCTGGAAAACGGCCCCGTCCTCTACCACCTTGTGGAAATGCTGCACGTGAACTGCCTCCTGGAGGACCAGCTTTACCTTCCCCAGACATTTGTCCTGACTGTGTAGTTTTCCTGGATTGCATTTCAAACTGACTCAGGAACTGTTTATTGCATGGAGTTACAACAGGATTCTGACCATGAAGTTCTCTTTTAGGCAAAAGATCCATTAACTTTTTTGAAGATGCTTCAGATCCAACATCAACAAGTGCAAACCCCTTTGACTGGCCATTTGCCCGATTCTCAAAAAATTTTATCTCCAAAATATCATTCACTCCCAAAGAATGAACTGCTTCAGTTAAGTCTTCATCTGTTGTCCACCATGTTAGATTTCCAATATATAATGTGATTCTCTTTCCAGTATATGTATAGACAACATTTGGTGCTGCTCCTTTATTACCCACATCATCACCAACAGTTGGTGGAAGAGTATCCATGTAATCACAGTCTTCTGGGGCATCTCCATTATTTGCAGATGGAGAGATGACATCATCATACAAATCTATTTGATCATGCCCACCATATTCAGCTTCCTGGTTGAACTCTTCGCCCACATCCGCGTAAATGTCTATGTGGTCCACACCGTCCGCCATCTTCCCTGGCTCCGGCGCCACCGCCGCCTCCTCCTGCAGGTCCCTTGTTTTTCCAATTTAAAGTTGGTATAGAAATTTCCTTAAACTCAGTGAGTCCTTCCTCCTCCATGCCCAATCTAATAACGAGCCCAGAAAAGGCTCTGCATTTTCTCTCACAGTGTTTTTAATCTCTAGCATTTCTCTTTTTAAAATTGTAGTAAGAATTTTATTTATTTATGTATTCATGTATTTATTTATTGAGAGATTTTGCTATAGACCATGTATGCTTCTTGGAGAGACAGGGAGATGGAGAGAGAGAAAGTGAGAAATCAGTCCCCAGAGGAGAATGGCCACACCATAATCCCTTCTCCTCCATTTTCCTCTCCCCATTTTGGGCATGCATGTACACATGCTCAGGGTGAGATTTAAGTCACTGAGTCCAGGACTTAAACTGCAGTCAGGTCCAGTGCCTTAGTCACATGGAATTTTCACTACAATAGGTAAAATCTCTGGCCATAAAATAAGTCTCAATAAATTTCAAAGAATGAAATCTTATAGAGTGTGTTCTTAGGCCTCAACAGAATCAAAATAGAAATCAGTAATAAGAAAAGTTCTAGAGGATTCCCAACTTCCTCCTGAAAATTAAATAGTGTATTTCTACATAACCCATGAGTCAAAGAAGACATTGCAAAGAAAATTGAAAAACATATCAAGGGGAAAGATAATGAAAGCATATAAAAATTTGTGCGGTGCAGCTATATTAGTGCTTAGGGAAATTTATAGCTTTAAATGAATAATCAGTAATGAAGAAATTTTAAAATCAGAACTATAAGTTTCCACCTTAAGTTAGAAAAATGAAGTAAACAGAGGGAAGTAAAAGTGATAAGAGCAGATATAAATAAATAGGAGGCAGAAAAACCTAGAGAAAATTGTCAAATACTGTGTTTCATACAAAAAATTGTAAAACTTTTTTAAAAGAGATTTTTGCTATAGGCGCATGTGCTCGTTGAAGAGAGAGAGACAGAAAGCGAGAAATCACCCCTCAGGGCAGATGGCCATGCTGCAGCCCCTTCTTTCCATTGTCCTCTTGAGATTTGGGGCATGCATGCACACGCACCTGGCGTGAGTTTTAAGTCACTGGGTTTGGGACTGGGACTGCGGTTGACTATGTGGGAGTCCAGCAATGTAACCAGTATGCCATCTGCTAGTCCCTAGAAGAAAACTTTAAGAAGATCAATCAAATTGATAAACCCTTAGCAAGAATGATCAAGGGAAAAATAGAAAATAGAAAGTATTAATATCCGAAATGAAAAGAGGGAACATCACTGCAGATCCTACAGAGATTGTAAGACTAAGGGGCTACTAATTAATAGGGATGTATTTATGCCAATTAATTTGAAATCTGAAATAGAATGGAAAAATTCCTTGAAAAACTAACCTTCCAGTACTGGAACATGAATGAATAGCAAGTCTTAATAGCCTTGTATCCATTAAAGAGATTGAATTTATAATGAAATAATCTTCCTCCAAGGTAAACTTCAGACTCAGTGTTTCCAGTGACTTCTTTCATATACTTGAGGAATACGTTTTACCACTCTTTAACTTTTAGAAAATAGAAGACAAAAAGCTGCTTTCTAACTCTTTATTTGATGGTGCATGACCCTGATACAAAAAAACTGAGAATACAAGAAAAAACAAGATAAATCCATATCCCTTATTTATGTAGATGCAAATATCCATAACAAAAACTTTGGCAAATCAATGCAGCATTATATAAAAAGGATAATACATGACAACAAAATAGGATTTATCCCAGAAATGAAGCCAGTGAGAGCTTCCTTAGTGTGCTGCCCTGAGCTTATGTCTTCTCTCATTATTTGTCCTTATTTTACTTAATGGTGATTTGTTTTGTAGAGCCTACTGTGCTTATTAGTTTATCTATGTGTCTTTATACTATAAAGAGAGCAATTCTCTTATTTGCATCTTTTAACAATATATCTTTCTGCATTCAGTGTTTTGGCTGACATTAATAGTACTGAAGTATTAACATTTACGTATTTTATTAGTTTCCATTCCATTTTTTTACTTAAAAAATTTCTGTAAGATTTTTGCCATAGGGTGTGTGTACTTTCCAGAGAGAGACAGTGAGAAACAAAGTGAGAAATCACCCCCCTAGGGTGGACGGCCACACTGCAATAGCTTCTGGGATTTTGGGCATGCACACACACACACACACGTACTCACCTGGCGTGATTTTTAAACCACCAGGTCTAAGACTTGAACCACAGTCAACCATGTAGGAGTCCACTGCCTTAATCACTACACCACCTGTTGGACCCCATCTTTTCACCATTTTAAAAAAAAACTTTTTAAAAGAATTATTTAATTTAATTTAATTTAATTATTATTGTTTTAATTTGACCAGAAAGAGGTGGAGAGAGAAAGAAAGGGAAAATGGGAAAACAAACCACCAGGTCTGGGATTTGAACCATGGTGAACCATGTGGGAGTCCAACACCTTCACCACCATGCCACCTGCCAGCCCCATCTTTTAGCATTTTAAACTTATGTGTTTCTACAAATAGCAAACAGTTGCATTTCATTTCTGTTTCTGTTTTTAGGTCAGTCTAAGAATCTCTTACTTGTTATGTTTGACCTATTCATTATTATTTCAGTAATTGATATATTTAGTGGTATTCCTGTTACCTTGGTGTATTATTTCCATTTTTTGTACTTTATTTTGAAGCTGTCAAGTGATCTTGTTTATTTTTCTTTCTTCTTCCCATCCTTCCTCCTCCAGAATTCTTCCCTTCATCTTTCTCATCTTTTCTTTTAAAAAATTTTTATGATTTGAAAGATTTACATCTTGTTGCTAATCTCGAAACTGGTAACTATGTTTTTCTATCAGCAATGACTGTCCATTTCTGTTACCTGCTGCTGTCATAACCTGAACTGTCAAGGATTTTGCATACTTCAATCCCCCTCTTTGTCTGCCATTGTATTTTCTTAGTAAAAAGCATATGAAGTCATACTTGCAGACTTTTATTATTTTAAAATGGTGTTTTTCTACTTTCAGAGAAATGATTTTTAAAGTTGTATTATGTTTTCAAGTTATATAAGATAATAGTATAATTTTACTGTTTTTTTCTTTTTTTGGAGAGGTTTTTGCTATAGGGCAGGTGTGCTCACCAGAAAGACAGAGAGACAGAGAGACAGAAAGCAAGAAATCACCCCCCACCCCCACCCCCGGAGGGGTGTGTGTGTGTGTGTGGCCATGCCACAATCCCTTCTCCTCCATTCTCCTCTTGGGATCTTGGACACGCACGCATACACGCCCGGCATGAGTTTAAGCCACAGGGTCCAGGACTCGAACCGTGGTCAACTACATGGGAGTCCAGCGACATAGCCATTATACTAACTGCTGGTCCCTAATTTTACTAATTTCTTTGCTTTCCATTATTTCTTGAATTCCATGAAGACTTTTTCTCAATTTTTAAAAAAGCGATGTATGTAATCTAGCAAGTCTGATGAATGGCTTCTATGAAGAGTAACCTTTCAGAATTTTTGTAATTTGAAGATATCTCTTTTTCTTCAAAAATGATATGGTAGTTTGATTCTGTATTTAAAGTCTAAGTTTAGGGGACCAGCAGTTAGCGTAATGGCTTTGTCACTGGACTCCCGTGTAGTTGATCGCGGTTCGAGTCCTGGATGTGGCGGCTTAAACTCACGTTGGGCATGTGTGTGTGCGTGCCCGAAATTCCGAAAGGAGAATGGAGGAGAGGGGATTGCGGCGTGGCCATCCCCACCTGGGGGGTGATTTCTTGCTTTCTGTCTCTCTGTCTCTCTCTGTCTTCCTGGCAAGCGCATGTGCCCTATAGCAAAAACCTCTAAAAAATGAAGTCTAAGTTTAAAGTTGTTTTTACTACAGAAATATTGCAGATATGTAGTTATATACTAGTCGACTTAAATTTTTGTTGCTACTGTTCTTTCATTTAGTACATTTTTGTTGAGTGCCTATTATGTGCTAGGCACTGAGACTGGTTTTAGATATCCTCGTCAAAAAACTTAATGTGATTCCAGTCTTTCTGAAACTACAGTTGTGTGTGTGTGTGTGTGACTTAGACATTTTTGTAGGTAACCTGTCTGGCAATTTTTGTTCTCTCTCTCTGTCCCTGCCCCCTTCTTCCCCTTTCTTTTTCTCCCTCTCTTCCTTTTTTCCTTTCCCCTCCTTCTCTTTCCCCTCTCTCCCTTCTTCCCAGTGGGCTCAATATAAGCACAAGGGTCCTTATAAGAAAGGAGTTCTTCCTCTCTGCCTCCCTCCTTCCCTCCCTCCTTCCCTTTCTTCTTTCTTCTTTGATATCTGAATAATCTTATCCTTTAAAAAAATTTCAGTTAAATGTTTCTGCTATGACTTTTCCCCCATAATACCCTACTAAATTTTTAATGGGTTTTGGTATTTATTTTCTTTGCTTTTTAACCCTTTTCTCATTATTTCATCACTTCTTTTTAAAAAAATAATTATTTATTTAATTTTCAGTTATTATTATTATTATTATTATTTTAATTTGACCAGAGAGACAGAGAAATAGACAGGGAAAGGGAAAGCGAGTCACCAGGTTTGGGATTTGAACTATACAGTTTGCCATGTGGGAGTCCAGTGCTTAAACCTCCATGCCACCTCTGTTCCTTTCATTACTTTTTAATTTGCACTGTATTCCAGAGAGTTTTTCAGCTTACATTTCCAGGCCATTTTTTTTTTCTTTACTTATTTCCTTTCTGCAATTTCAAACCATGTAATTTAGATTTATTTGCAGAGTTAGGGGATGACAATTTTTTCTATTTCTCAACCACCCCGATAATTTTTTTGGGTCAACTTTTTTCTTATAATATCCTCTCATCTCTCTGAGAATATTAATGATTGTTTTGCATTTTTTTTCTGGTTTTCTTTGTAGATTCTGTTTCCTCAGATTTTTTTTTCATGCCTTTTATTTTCTCCGGATATCTGGTAGTTCTTGGATGTGAGAAGGTATTCCCATTTCAGTGCTTTTAGGTGAAAGGTGCTCCCTCTTCAAATTGAAA